ACACACCTTGGTCATGCCAAGATCTGGGCAATGTTGTTCAGTGTTAAATGCATTCCCAACCAGATGGCGAAGTAGAAATCTCAACACAAATCCTACTAAGTGGGTTTATCTACAGAATGTAGTACTTACATACCTCTGCCATATTTCTACCAGCCCAGTATCCCGGACACCCCTTTGTTGTGGTATGCGTGCTTTCTTAGCTGTTTTAGATAATTTGATACGGTTTTGTTTCTGGGCCAATGGACTTTATTGTCACTGAGCTACTGATTGGCCATGTGTCTAAGGTTTTGCACTTTCTGTCAAAACTATTTCATATGTGCTCTGCCCAAAGGTGGGTCCTTGGTCTACTGTCTGTTTATGATTCACACTGAGCTGTTTTCTTGGCAGGTTTTGTAACTGGCAGGTTGCCGCTGACTTCCACTCTGAGGGGCAGGGGTAGGAGGCTACACAGCCTCACAGCGCCACGGACCTGGGTTCGATTCCACCCTCGGGCGACTATCTGTGTGGAGTTTGCACATTCTCCCCGTGTCTGCATGGGTTTCCTCCCAAAGACCAAAAATGTGCAGGTTAGGTGGACTGGCCATGTTAAATTGCCTGTAGTGTTCAGGGATGTGTGAGATTAGGCGGATGGGTCTGGCTGGGATGCTCTGAGGGTCGGTGTGGAGTTGTTGGGCTGAAGGGCCTGTTTCCACACTGTAGGGATTCTATGATTCTGATTCTAAATTGCCCATAGTGTGCAGGGATGGACAGGTTGGGTGGGTTAGCCACGGGAAACGTGGGGTTAGTTGGATAGGGACACTCATTGGAGGGTTGGTTAATTTGCTAATCAACCTGTTCAGGGACGTTAATAAACAATGCTAGGGCAGATGGGACTTGAACCCAGGTCTCCTGGTCCAGAGGTAGTAACACTACCACTGCACCACCTCCCTACCCTATTTATATTGTTTCAAAAACCAGTCAGTCAATCAAATGAACTTAATTAACTAATGAGCAGCCTGTTAAAAAGGGGCACTGTAACAAAATGTCCTCTCCTTATAGAATTTTGAAAAATTAGTAAACCAGATTAATCAAATTAATTAATTAGCAGCCCCTTAAGGGGACAGTGTTACAGGATTCAAAGTACCAAAGAAAAACTATCAAATTATATGAACAGGACACAGGGTTGGTTGAGGGATGAGGGGGTCGTTGGTGGTGGTGGTGGAATTATACATTCCAGCCCTGTGGTGCCCACTATTCATGGAAGGATCTGAGTTCAAGCTACTTCATCAATCATCTCCACTCACTAGCTTATCCTCAATCCCAACACTACAAGAAACATAACATTTACATTCAACATAAGTACCTTTTTGAGAAGTCCAATTTCCACAAATAACACTTTGCCACAAAGTGCTGCTTCTCACTGTCAAAGTTAAAGAAGTTTACAGATAACAACCAAACCACTTTGAGGTCGAAGAAAACCTCATGAGCCAGATGTCAGCATCATCATAACAATTACAAAGAATGTAACCAGTTGAAAAGTAACCAAATGGAGCACCAATCTGTGACTCATTTTACAAAAGGCTGTAACAAAATACAGAAATGTTTATTTTAACAATTTCAAATTGAGAGGCTTTGGAAATTCAGAATAAAGTACAGCCTATTCCATCCCAGAATTTGCAATGGCAGATATGTGTGTACAATTGGAACGAATAGCAGATTCTGTTGAGCAGAAAATAACATAGAATACCTTCCTTTAAATTTGAGATATTGTAAAATGCAAATAGAGGTTTCAGCATCTGAATAAAACTGTTATATCAGTTTAAAAATAAGTTTCAATCCCCTGTCAACCTAATTATCTGGAGCCTTGCCATCTTACATATCAACTGTTCGTTTCATGGTATATTTTAAAGCATAGGATATAATTACTTGCAGAACTATTGATCACAAACTAACTTCAACAACTTCATTCATATAACGCCTCTAACACAGCAACCGGCCCAACCCCAAAACACTTCACAGAACTGCTGTAAAGCGCATTTTTATATTGAGGCACGTAAGGAGATATTAGCACAGGTGACCGTAACAGCTTGTTCAAAGAGGTAGGTTTAATGAGCACAGTAGAGGAGGAAAGAGAAATAGGAGTAGTTTAAGGAGAAAACTGCAAAGTCTCATCTCTGAGTAATGGTAGACAGTGAAACAATAAGAGATGCTGAAGAGGCCTGAATAGGATAAGTCCTGATATCTCTGCGGATTGCTGGGTTACAAGAGATTAGGATGCAGGGAGAGGTGAGGTAACCTGATGTACTTATGTAAGGTATGATTTGTCTGGTTAGCACACAAAACAATACTTTTCACTGTATCTCGGTACATGTGACAATAATAAGTCAAATCAAATCAAAGGTCATGGGAGCATTTGAAAACAAGGATAATAATTTCAACATCAAGTTCTGGCTCATTAGGAAGCCAACGTAAATAGTCTCAGGTTTGCAGAGGGTACAAAGTAGCAGGTCGGTCAGTTGTTCGAGAAGATAATGTGAACTGCGCATTAGGATTAGAGAAGTTATCAAGCAACAGTTTTATACAGAAATATTCGCTATTGCCCGATTCACTTCCCATTGTTTGAGAGTAGGGCCTGCTCCATTCAGACTTTGAGCAGTGAGCAGAAAGTGGACTTTCTTTACAGTATGTCTCTTAAACATTTTGCAGCAATGTGCAGTCGTTCTCATCAAAAGGTCCTTCCAATTTAGCAAAGCTTTTCATAAGTTAAGAAGGAAAGCTGCTTCCATACTGACCAACTGTATTTGTACAGCAATAGTATCTTGATTGTATCTGCTTCTGTATAATCTCTTAATGCGTAAATAAATTCAATCAGTAATTTTGCCTGGCATGATTTGAGTTCTGGTGGTGATATTACTTTTCATCTGAGCAGACTGAAGGTGTGGAGGGATCCTACTTGAATATGAATGTATAACATATGATAAAGCCCTGGTCATTGAAACCATGCAGCTTGAAGTCTGAAACATCCATCACATTTTCAAGATGTAGCCACTGTACTCACAATCACTTAACATTGTATTAGGCCAGGCTAACAAATTTGAAAGGATTGGGTGGGTAAAGTGCATCTCCTACCGTGTCATGCTGCTGCTTTTGGTTTTAGTGTTTCACGCAAGTTGAAATTAATTTTGTTACTCTAGACTCCCCTGAACTACGTCATAAAGTGTCCTCTAATATAGACTGTCCCATAGTCAGTGTACGTCAGGAACAAAAACAGAAGTTGCTGGAAAAGCTCAGCAGGTCTGGCAGCATTTGTAAGGAAAAATCAGAGTTAATGTTTGTCAGGTTGGTCGTGCCATTGCCTTATCCCAGCAGTAATGCTGCCAGGAGCTGAAAAAAAATGCCAGCAGGATTGTAGCAAATAGCTAGTTACCTGCTGAACAGGTTTGTGAATGATGTGGTGAAATATAAGGTTTTAGTAGTAGGGTCCATGCAAGAAGCAGGCTGTGAACCACAATGCCCCTCAGCCTTCAGCACTGACTGTTAGTGTGGACTCTGAATACTGCAACCTGCATTTTAACCTTTAGCTGTAACCAGTCCTTAAGAGAGTCTTAATCCCCTTCAAAGCAGAATACTTCCAACCCAAGTGAATAACACCTTTAACAAAGTAAAATGTCTCAAAGTGCTTTACAGAACCTGTGGGAGAAGACTGAAACAATATGATGTTGTAAGTAAACATTTGAAGAAGCTGGGTGAGTGAGGGGGAGGGAAGGAGGTAGAAAGGGGAAAGGGTCACGAGTATAAATTCCAGAATATACAGGGTTGGGAGAGCTGATGCATGTCACCAACAGTGGAGCTAAGACAGAAGGGGAGGTCAGAGGAAGAGTGGAAATGACAAGAAAGGGAGAGTTGCTTTGGGAAGGCTAATCACTGACTGGTGGGCAGAACTGAAAGATGCTGCAAAGGCAAAGATCAGTGAGATTGGAGTGGAAAACAAGAACTAACGATTAAGTCTGATGAAAATATGGAAGAGACTCTCAGGTTCTAGGTCTGGCCCCTGAACATATTAAACGTGAGTGAGTGAGAGCTCCTGGAGCTATCTCGAGTTGCTTGGTTCCATGTTGCCTTCACTATAACGTCACAGTTTAATAGGTAACTTAGTTTTAACAGGGCACAGGCTGGATCACTTCAACATGTGATGGTCTTAGTTAAGGATTTTCTCCACAGAACTGTGGGCACCTGTTACCTGCAGTGTCCTAACTATTGCCACCTTGGTAGATAGCTCCACACACCAGGAAGGATGTTACAGCTTGTTCTACATATTAACTTGAGCAGTTATTAAAATCAGGTATCATGAAGGGAAACTCTTGGTGGGATGTAAGTGGAGGGGGGAATGATGGATTTTTTAGTTCTCTTTATTAAGTTACAATGGGAAACATTCTAGATTTTGGATCTTTTCCAACATCTGCACGTTCAATATCTGTGCAAATTAGATTGTAGTCTCTCAGCAATTCTCACAATGGCAGAATAATTAATATGGAAAGCTAATCTCTAAGACAGTGACAAGTTCAAATTCATTACAGCATCAAGTGCTGTATCCTATTTCAATAGCTAGTGGGATGGACACTGTAAACTGAGTCAGTGTTTGTACCATAACAGCCGATTCTCCTGTAATGTTCTCCGAAAGTAGAAGCTCCAGCCCAGCCTACCTCTGCACATTAAAAATTTACCAGTCTGGGAACAATACACTGCTTACACAAACTCTTTCACAGTGGGTACGGTGCAAATTGCTGCCATACAATATAACATGGTCATGTTGGATGTGCTTCAGACTCTTAACAATGACTAGCAGGGCAAGTGAAGAGTGTTGATGCCTTAGGTCAAACCCAAAACTTGTGAAATTAAATTCACACAAATTGAACAGAATGCAGCTCTGGAACAATTGAAATGACAGCGCAGGAGGAAAGGCTGACAGTACAAACTCTCCAAATACAGTAGCTGTTGGCAGTCATTTCATATTGTCTGACCTGTAACAGCACAGCTCCCAGCTTTGTGGCATTACCTTTTCCTAGAAAATATTTGAAATACCATCTGGTGTGATATTCTGGGTTCTCTAAGTGCACATCAGTTCGGTGCCATGTTCCCGGTGTGTAGTCAGTACTCTGCAAATAAAGAGACAGGAGCATGCATTAGTATTTATCACTTCATCGTCTTGTTTCCATTTAAAACGAAGACATATAGGTGAGGCCAAAGCAATAATCAATATAGGCCAGCAGATCCTAAACAGCCAAAACCTTCCTCTTATTGTACTTCGAAATTCCTCCCTTCCCCTCACCATGTCCACTCATGACAGAACCAAAGTGGTATCCTCCTCTTCCTCCCAACACTGTCTTGAATGCTATAAACTGCTGGGTTTTAATCCTTGTTCACACACACGTTTTAACAGTCCTAACACAGGACAATATCTATAGAACTCATTAACAGATTTATTGATTGCATTGCAGGGCCAGAAACAGGCCTTAAAAACCAGAGGTTACATTCGATTGCTTACCAATCACTGCGCGGTAATTTAGAGAGCACCTGAATATTATCGGTTACTCTGCAGCAGGGGATCAGTTAGTTCAGTTTGCTGGATGGCTGGCTTGCAGTGCATCAACTGAGGTTACCATGAAGGACTCTCCTCAGCCTCTCCCCTCACCTAACCCTCAGGGTAAACCATGTCTCTCTCTCTCTCTCTCTAATGTGAGAGCAGCCTAATGGACTGGCAAGACCTTTTACTTTGCTTTGCAGGAGCTTCTGTCTGTCATTATTCACCTGCACTGACAAACACATGGCCCCCAATCTGCTTCCATTGAACATTAGAGCAATGACAGAGAGGATGGACAGTGTTGTGTGGGAGCACATGTGTGCAGCCCACCCACCCTCCCCACAGCAACAACAGCAGCAAGGGAGCACACTATTCTTCAGCTGCTTCCCACAGCCCTGGACTGGGACTGCTACTGTTCGATATGGATTGACAGTGAACCAAGCAATGTTTCACTGCAGCTTGGGTTTTGAAAGCAGATGAAATGTTAAAGTCTCAAAGGAAAATGCAAGCTTCATGAGACATTTAGATCCTTCAGTTAAGATAATAAAGAGTAGCCTCTTCTTAACGCCAGCTTTTCATTACGGGAAGTAAATTGGTAATTTAAGCTGCCTGCTGGAATCTACCATTTCCATGTTAGTGGTTTTCACATGTATTTGAGGTTTCCAGCTCATGAATAACATTCCATGGAGCAGACCAATCTGAATGCCACACTTCTCCAAATTATACTCCATCTATCAATCCCCTTGCCCACTGCCCATTCAGACATCTTTCCCCTCACAGCTCACTCGCCACCTAGCTTTATGCTGTCAACAAAATTGGACGTCTTAATTCTTGATCCTTTAATCTCAGTCATAAACCGCTAAAGACCCTGATGAACCTGAACAGGCCGCACTCATTCCTGCTCACTGAACGGATTTACTGTGTGGATAAAACTATGGCAACTGCATTTCAATACAGAAAAGAGCAACACCATCCACTTTGGACACCAGGACAATGAGTTGGAACATTTCTCCAAACAGTGAGGAACTGTGGAGGAGCAAAGAGATTTGAAAGTCAACATTGTCTGATCAGTTGATATTAGCGCACAGGAGCCAAGAAGCAATCAAAAAGGCTAATAAAAGGTTGACCTTTATCACATGGAGACCATATTACAAAAAGGAGAAAGTTATGGTTCAGTTTTACAGAATTTTGTTATGATCCCATTGAGAGTGTACATCAGGAGAAATGTATTGGTCTCAGGGGGGCTGCAGCACAGATTAAACGGAAATTATACTGGGATTTTGAGGACAGATTGTACAAACTACAGTCACTGTGGAAATTGAGAGGCGAGCGAATTAAAGCTTCTAAATTGATGAAAATATTTAATAGGGAGGATGCAGAATGAGGTGTTGTAAACTGAATGCCACGCTGTTTAGGAGGAGGATTGGAAAGCACTTTTTCCCCAAGGTATAATGGAAACCTGGGCTTCTCCAAATGTTTTTGCATGCTGAGGAAATTGGTACTTTCAAAACTGAGACAATTCCTGTATCAGAGACAGATATTGTTTCTCGAGACAAAAAAATCTGAGAGTGGTATTTGCAGAGATTTTGAGGAAAGGCTAGTGCAGGTGTTAACCAAACGGGGACTTTAATTCACTTTCCAGGCTTAAAAGCAGGTCTGTCTTGTTTACCTATCCAGTCAATCACTGTTATCATCGACTGGAGGCAGCAGGGTAGGGAGAATTACTGGATGGCTGTGGTAGAATGCTACCATTACTGACTGCTTGGTGGAGGCTCAAATGTACCCATCGCTTTCTGAAACAAGTGGCAGATCTGGGTGCAACAGGGGCAGGATCTGTTTAAATCTGCTAATTTGGGGAGAGCACTGCAAAGTTATTGGCAGTTGCTACAACAAGTGAGTGCACGCAGAACTAAATGCTCTAATAGTGTTTGCAACTTCCATTGTCACGCTGCGTGGACCACCAATGAGATTCAATATTGATTGGGAACATTTTCCCACATTCTACATCAAACAGAGACAAGGGCCAGCCAGAAGGGGCTTGGGAGACCAAGAACCATCAATAACCCCTCTCCCCGACCATCACCCCCCACGCCCCCAGCAAATGGGTGGGTGAGCATTATTGAGGCAAGCATTAAAGATGAGCCCGAAGGGAGTTTCCTCTGGGTCCTCTGGTTTCCTCCCACAGTCCAAAAATGTCCAGGTTAGGTGGATTAGCCATGCTAAATTGCCCATCATGTCCAGAGATGTGTAGGCTAGGTGGATTAGCCATGGGAAATGCACAGTTACAGGGATAGGGTAGGGGTGGGTCTGGGTGGGATGCTGTTCGGGGGATCAGTGTGATTTGATGGACCGAATGGCCTCCTTCCACACTGTAGGGATTCTACGATTCCAAAAGAATCATATATTCCATATTCACACGTTTCTATATCACTGAAGGATTTTGAGATTTTTATTTGCAATTCAAGGTTTATTGTTGGATCTCCTACATCACCCGGAAAAATATAAAATTATGCAGTGCATTGTTCCAAAAGATGTAAAACCTGTCTCATGACATATATACATTTATTAAATATATAATATAATATATATAAATGTATTACACATATATTTAATACCAAATATAGATCTTTGGGTGGTACAGTGGCACAGTGGTTAGCACTGCTGCCTCACAGCGCCACGGGCCTGGGTTCGATTCCACCCTCGGGTGACTGTCTGTGTGGAGTTTGTACCTTCTCCCCGTGTCTGTGTGGGTTTCCCCCAGGTGCTCCAGTTTCCTCCCACAGTCCTTAGATGTGCAGGCTAGGTGGATTGGCCATACTAAATAGCCCATAGTGTTCAGAGATGTGTACCTTAGGTGGGTTATGGGGGGATGCTCTGAGGGGCAGTGTGGAGTTGTTGGGCTGTAGGGCCTGTTTCCACACGGTAGGGATAGTAAGGAACATGAGCTACTTTACTCATTTCGATTGTGATTTCCAGCTGACTCCACAATCTAAGTGGAAACTGAACTGTGGGGCACAATGAATAGAGTTGCCAATTCTTGATGGTCATACTCTTGGAGATTTTATTGCACAACCCACAACCAGCTCAGCAAAGCCAAGCAACTTTCCCCCATCTCTAATATGTCTATGGTTGATAAATGAAAAACACATTTTTATTCTTAAATAGCCCTATAATTGTTCCCTGGGGTTGCTTGTTAGCAGTGTCCTGGAGCTTAAGCTATAATTCCTTGGGGAGATTGGTTTGGGAATTTGTACGGTAGTCAGAACACCAAGTCAGTCTTGGAAAGTTGGCAATATTCACCACCAGGACCTAACTGCTGTAACTGTCAGGATCACTGACTCGGGTAATTTCATGACCGGTGTGTTTTATAGATATTAAGTTTACATTAATACTTACACTAATGCCACTCTCACACCTGCCCCGCTCTCCATCCTACCATCAATGTCCTATTACTGACAGCACTATTGTTGGCATTCCCCACAACACTATGTGCTGTTCCTGGCTTTCGAAGTGGCCATCTTTGAAGACTGACTTCCCCATTCAATGGGTGAAAAAGCCTTCTCTCACGGAAACTGGGGTACTTGACAATTTGTTGCCACTCCAGAGCATCTTATATCAAAAATACCTCAGAGACATCAATTCTCCATCTAGTTTTCTTCACTGCATGACTGCACTGAAAAACAGATCCCATGTTAACAGGATAGAGGATTATCTATCTATTCTGCACAGTCATGAGTTAACATTAAGCAACAAATGGGAGAAGCAGAGGAATAATGAAGTGAAGGGCTGACCTTTTCAAGGAAGGAATGGGGTGAGGGGGAGATCATAGGCAATATGAGATATATGAGATGCCTTTGCTGCTGCACTGTAAACTTGCTGTGCACTTAATTAGGCAATCAGCCCCGAGCCTGTTGCAGAGCAAGTCATATGGATACCTCTTGTGGACTCTGAAGTTAGAGTTCATCCTCACAAACAGCAGAAAATATCACTGTGTCATGTATTACTTCACAAGGTGCTGTACAGACACATCGTTGATTGGCTCTGGTTGGACACGTGGGATTTTTATCTTCATTCATATCATGATGGTTGTCAGTGAGGAAGTTGTTCAGAAGGGTAGTCGCACACCTTTAAGGAGTGATAGAACAGCACAAGGTGGAGGAATGGCAGGAGCTGCCTAAGGCAAGACACCTGCAGCAGATTAAAGGGAATAAAAACAGGAGTACATGAAATCCCAATGAGGTGTAAAACCTGCCAATAGTGAGTTGGTGCTCCAGTGTGTCTGGTCAGCCTGCTGTGGGTCTTTAGGCTTTACAAGTCTCTCCCGATAGCTGAGGTTTTCGCTGAGGTACCGATAAGGGAAAATATGTTGTTGTGTCACCAATGGCACATCTTTTCAACGCGCCTCCCTGTCTTTGGGCAAGCATTCCAGCCAAATTCCAACAGAAACAACTCTGGAAGGTCCTCACAATAGACAAACAGCTGGGCTCCTGGCAAAATGACTAGCAAACCACCCTTCAACTATTTCCCACGTTACTACTGACAGAAATGGGATGAACCTGGACAGTAGAGCTTGTT